TTCCCAGACTACACCAGCCACTTATGAGGAATCCCATCACTGGTTGAGTATGTGACAGCAGTCTTTGAACTTCCCAAATCAGGCTCGTTAGTTGTGCTGGGGTCCTGTGCTGTCTAGAGTGCAACTGTATTTGTTATATATACATATATATACACGTATAAACTGGCATTTAAACAACATCTCTAGCCTGAGGTACTGTCTCCAACAGTAGTAAAGGCCAACCAATCACTTGACTTTCTAGGTGTAGTGTGAGATACCCCTAGCACCTCAGTATATGCCCCTTTCAGCTGCCATGGGCTCAGGAAGCCCACAAACTAGAGGATGCATTTCAACAAGTGTGCTTAATAAGTCCCAACAGACACACCCCTGCTTCTGCCCAAATTTTTCCAGTCCTCCTTTGACGCTCATTTGCACTCTGATTTCTGCAATGCCTGATAGCAGCAAGTTCCTCATGCTGCCTGAAGCACTTCCTCAGTTATGCCTGACTAATTGCATTGCTTGCTCCCCAGTGCTGGCGTGATAAGAAATAATTGCTTCCAATTCACCTTCTTGATGCCACTGGTGGTCCTGTAGACCAAAGTTGTGTTTACCTCCCTTCCACCTCATTGTTTACATCTGCTTTTTCAGCCTGTTTTTACAGGCATGATTGTAGCACAAAACCCTTTCTCTCTATGCTTAACCCCTCCTTCTCCTCTCCCATTGCAGCTGGAACATCAGCTACAGTCTCTGAACTCAGAGCAGCTGGAAACCCGTGTGCAGAATGAAAGGCTCCGGCACCTGAATGAAAACCTGCTGGAAGAGCTGGAGAAAAGCAAGTGGGAGCTGGAGGCGGTGAAGGGGCAATTACAGAAGCTCCAGAAGGAGGCCCAGCTTGAGCAAGAACAGAAGGACAGGTGGGAATGGGCAGGGAAGGGGCTGTCAGGGCAGGGACCCAGGTAGAGGAGGAAGGGTGGGCAAGTAGTTAAAGAAGAACGATCTCTGATTAGAAGCCTTGGTCTCATCAGAGGATTGCCTGTCTCTTCTTGAGGAAAAGAAGTAATATCCTAATGGTCTTATGGGCCTAAACAGGGAGTGATACAGTGTTCCTGTTTCTGGGCTTAATCTAGTAATACATAGCTGAAACATTGGTGTGTTTCGGATCCGGATGGCAGTGAGCATCCTTCCCATCTCTAGCAGCTGAGGAAACTGCAGTGCGAAAGGAGAAAATGGGTTGCCTGCCCTCACGTTGGAGGAGAGGGGGAGAACTGGGGTACAACCCAGACATCCCAGCTCCTGCAGCAGTGCTGCTTCTTCTGAATTCTCCTACCATAGGGCAGGCCCTTATCTCTCAGAATACCATGAGTGTCCTTGAGAAAAGGATGTTTGTATTTCCTCTCCCATTAACTTATTGCCCCTTTTAAAATCTTCTTTGCCCAGGGATGTGTTTAGAGTCTCCAAGAACATGCAGAAAGAGAAACAAAGCCTCCTTCGGCAGCTGGAGCTCCTCAGGTAAGCACAGGGCTGGTGGGAGATGCTGAGATCTTGTGTGCATAAGGGGCTGAGGTTTCAGTACTGTGCTCGTTTCTCCCACAGAGAGCTATGGGAGTGTATTCAAGCAGTGCTCAGACACTGCTTGTTTTTCTAGGTCCAGACAGAGTTGTGCAATCTGGCCAGCTCTGGCAGAGTACATGCTGTGTTATTTCACCAAGTAATCCCTCCACTGGAGGAATTTAGTCTTTCCTGCTAGCTAATGAGACCATGTGGAGCTCATTACCTGAGCTGGGATACATGGAAATCCCAACATGTCTGGCAATAAATAACATCTTTATCTGTGTCCCAAGCTCCCTTTCTGTCCTAGCTTTCAAATGTTAGTCTTTACTCCATTTTTGATGAGTGCTTCATTGTGTCTCTCCTGTGTCTTGCTTTGGAGCAGAGAGATGAACAAGAAACTTCGAGATGAGCGAGACGCTTTTGAAGCCAAGAAGCTGGTTAGTCTAAGAAAGAAAATCCTAATTCCCAACCACCCTCCTTCCATCTGCTGCTGTTGCTGTCACCACTCGGTGGCCTGTCACTTCCACGGGGGACAATGACCTGAGCTCACGAGGCCTGGTGTGGTGCCTAATACAGACTTCACAGCACCTCTCTGCCCATGCTAGGATGAGCTCTGCTGGTTGCTGTTGCCAACTACCCAGGTTTAACCCAAGGCATGCTAGCTTGTGACTGTCATGCAGCCCCGTGCAGGACTGCAGAGGGTGCTGTCTGCTGCACACGTGGAGTCTGTGCGTTGTGACAGGTGCTGAGCACATGCAAGGAGGGGAGTGAAGCTGGATGCATCCCTGGAGCTGGGTGGTGAGGAAGAAGATGGATTCCCATAAGTGCTGCTGGCTGACTGGGGGTGGCAGGGCATGGGAGGGGTTTAGAGTTTCTCTGACCCCTTGAGTTTGTAGCGGACGTTTTCAGATGTTCCTCTGGGTCAGCTCCCCATTCCCGTGAGCTCTGCTGGGGTGGAGGTGCAGCAGTGAGCCTTGTGTCATAGGGCTAGGAGAAAGCAGGGGACCTCTGACATCTGGAACAGTCAACTCCATCTCTGGCTTTTCCCAGTCTCCAAGATAAGTACAAATACGTGATCTATTTTTAATTCTTATTATTTTTTCATGAAAAAGTCTTTCTGTTCCCAAATGTCACTGGCAAGGCTGCTCTGTGCTCTTCTTGGACCCATCCCTGTCACCATGTGTCTTTGCCTGCTTTGCCACCATGCCCCACTTGGAAATCTGGAAGTAACTGTCTTGCAGTGAGGACAGGCAGTGGTAGGCTGCGAGAGACTTTCTGGCTGGTGTGTAAGGGAATGGGGAAGGAAGCACGGGGATCATGCCCAGGTAGGGGATGAGATGCCCTGCTGGGGGAGAGGCTGGAGTTCTCCAAGTGGAGCAGCAGCTGTGTAAAATAAATTAAATAACTGGTATGGATGGAGGTGAGGTGTGTGTGCATGTGCCTTTGTGTGTGTGTTTCTGAAATGTGAAAAAGTTTTGTTTTGTTTTTGTTTTGTTGGGGCTTTTTGTTGGTTTTGTTTTGGGTTTCTTGTGTTTTGGTTGTTTTTTGTTTGTTTTTGGTTTTGTTTTTTTCATTTTTAAAGCTGCTAAGTGTGTGTGTGCACCAGAGCTTCCCGCTCCCTCTTGGAGAAGTAATAAACACAGTCACTCTGTAAGAGTCCAGTGCAAGCAGGCAAAGAAAATGGTTTATTCTCCTCCTTTCCATGTGTGGTGCTTCGTCAGCTTCTGGGTTCCTGTGTGTGGGGCGGGTGGCCCATTGAGACCATGGTTCAGGTATGTGCCTCTGTGTGTGCAAAGCTTGTCTGCTTCTCCTCTATTCTCTCCTTTTCCCCTGCTAGGACCTGCTCAGGGCTGCTCTGAAACATGACAGTTGGCAGGTGGACCTAAGAGAGAGCCTAGCAGAGAGAGTCATAGCACAGAGGAGCTGCTTTCTCCCTTCTCCCTGTGCTGGTAGTAGGGGTGGGGCAGCAGGGTGAACTCCTCCTACTGTCATTGCTCATCTGGCAAGCCTGTGTCATGCTGGGCAGATGAAGCCTGTACTGGAGTAAGGTTTTTTTTCCTTTGTCAGCCAGGACATCTCGTTGGCCACTCTCATTTCAGTGCACAGGAAAGCAGGCCTCCAAGGGATTACAGAGATGCTGCTATCATCATAGACCTGCAGAAGATCTGCTGTCCAGCCTGTCCCACCTTAAGGGGGAGAGAAAATAGCAATACTTCCCTGCAGCAGCAAAAAGAAGAGTCCAGCCTTCTGATGGGGATCCCTAGTGTGTGCACACTCTCTGGCAGAGTGTATCAATGCTTTTACAGGCTAAAAAGGAACCCAAGGCTTAATACCCTCTGTTAGTATTGGGAAGAGTTGTGTTATTTCTGTGAAATGAAAGTGTGATGAACAGTGGGTCTTTCATAGCAAAGATTTTGAAGTGGTTGGAAGGAGGAGTTGGGCTGTACACAGCTGATAGCAACCCAGCCGCTGCTCCTTTGCACTTCTCGGTGCCCAGCTTAATACCTTGCTCTTCATAAGAGTTTCTGCCCTTGCCAGGGTGGGCAGACCCTGGCCCCATGGCACTGTGGGGCACTGTTTTGCCCCAGTGGCTAGGTCACATATAGCAATGTGTGGCTATTTCTGCCTGTGTGCAAACCACTGCTGGGTGCTTTTAAGATCCAGGGGTGGCAGGTTCAATTTCACACCCATGACCCATCTGGCTATGGAGTTATGCTTTCATGCTGTTATGTTGACAGAGCAAATTTCATGTCTGCTTATCATGAAGAGTGTTTTGGGACTTTGACTACATTGGACACGTATTTGTATTTCACTGATAAACCAGAATTTTTCCCATCCAAAATGCTTGTACATGTGCTAGTGTTGTTGTGGAATCCTTGCCATCGTGTGTTGTACAGCTGTGATGTTGCGTCTGTCCCTTTACCATCCCGGTGAAGAGCCAAAAGTCACACAAACTTGGCAGGCCAATAAAGCATGGCAGAACCAATGGCAAAACGTGCCCGTTGTTTCTCCTTTCTTACCCAGGTATGTACTCTGCAGGCTGCTTCCTCTCCAGGTAGGGTGGTGCTATAGCAGATTGCCTGGGACTCCCTTTGCTCCATAGATGACTTGAAGCTTGCGACTCAGCCCCAGTGGGCCGTAACACGACTTTCTTGTTTCTGTGTGTCTAGAGAGTGCCTGTGAGTGAACCTGCTCAAACTCTGAGAGCTTCCCCACTGGAGAACCATGGGTTGGCTGAACCACAGCCTGATAGCTGATAGTGTAGTGACCAAAGGGTCACTACACACTTGGGGGTCCTTTGCCTTGGAAGATAGGTGCTTCACAGCTGTGAACCTCTCGGTGCTGGATTGTTTCTGAGGCTGGAGCTTTTCTTGAACACCAGTTTTACATGTAAAAGATGTTTTGAGGTTTTTCCCCTCAAAATTCCTAGTTGGGTGAGGTCCTCTGTGGAGACCGGAGTGTCTCCTTTTGTTGGACTGCGTTGCGGTAAAGGTGTCCTGGGAGTTCTGGCCAACAAAGCAGCAGCTTAATTTTTTGCCTTTTAAAATAAGCCAGGGGTTATTGCAGAAATAATCTCCATAGTCCTCCCTTGGGCTGTGGGCAGCACAAAGGAAGGTCTGCCCAGAGCTGCCTGCAGGTGTTTGGTCAGTTCAAAACTGCTGCCAGAGGCAGATCTGGCAGGCTGCAGACTCTTCTTTCCCCACCTTTACCCCCAGAAATAACTTGTAAGGACGTGTCAGGAATCTCCAGGCTTACAGAGTGAGCCCATCTCCCTTTTCCCCAGCGCCAAGGCGGTGGGCACCTTGCCACGCTGTCTCACTTCATGTTTTGTGTGTGTAGCCAGAGCGGTTAGCCAGTCCGTTTGGGGGGGGGCCTAGGCTTTGGCATGGCATCTGAGGGAGCTGGCAGGGGAATCCTCTCTGCCACAGCTGCTCCTGTGTGATCTTGGGCAAGTTGCTCATCTTTGACTCTGTGGGGGTGACAAAACTGCTGTATGGGGGGGAAGAGGGTTGCAAGAAGAGTTGTCCTGCTTTCTCCTCTGGGGAGCTGGTAAACACTGGCTGTAGGAAGTGTGTAGTCTGAGGTAAGTAGGAGGAAAGCATGGATAGGGACGTTCATGTAGGGCAGACCATGTGCATGGCCCTTTGCAGAGCAGTCTCCTTTCTTTCCTATGGTGCATGGGCAGCTCTGGGTGAGTACCAGTGGAGGAGGGGTACTAGTGCCTTCTGAGGAAGGGGCAATTGGTCTGTCCCACAAAACATCAGCATAATAAAAAGGCAGGTGGGGAAAGAGAGATTCAGCTGTGAGACCAAGTGGAGAACAAACCACAGAAATGAAAGCTCTGGCTGGCTAGAGGAAGAGTTCAATTTGGAGCACCACCATTTTTGATGGATTTTGTTGCAAAGGGGAAAGCAGCATCAGTGATGGCTTCTTGCATGAGTTAAACGAGCTGAACTGAGAAAAGCAAGCCCTGTGCTCACCTCTGTTCAAGCCTGCCAGGGGGGCACTACAACTGCATGGTGTGGGGCTGCAAGAGCTCCAGCCTTGCCTCCCCAGAATGGTCTGCGGAGGTGGCAAGTGGTTGAACTGGGGCTGGTCAGGTTCCTGGGTCCTAATCGCATTCTTCATCCCTTCTCTTTTCAACTTCCAGGCGACTCAGAGCAAAAAGCCCCTGTTGAAGAAAGGGTCAGTGCTAGGCAGTTACCTGCTGGACGACAAGCCAGTCAAACGGTTAGATGGGCGTCTGTGTTGTGTTCGTGGTGTCAGTCTGTGCCCACTGGAGTACCCTGTCAGTCAAGCTGTGTCCTGTGTCTAAGTTCTCCCACCTTGGTGCTGGCTGGTTTTGGGAGCATGGGGGGGCTGCAGCTTGACTGTGGCTCTAGCTGCCTCTTGGCATCAGGTGGTGTTGGCTCAGTGTGAAGCTGAGGATGCTGTTAGCTAACTTCCACAGGGGGGTGACCCCTCCTCAGCTGCTTCTACGTGCAGCAATGGGTGAGCAAACCTAAGTGCTATCAGAAGCTGTGGGAGTGTTCATGGGATGGGAGTCACAAAGGCTGCCTCTGACCAAGTCAGGCAGCTCCATTAAAATGACTGGATCATCTCCCACGTGTGCCAGTTCCTCCTTGGGCAGAAATCCTGTCCACTGGCGCCTCATGCCAGAGCACATATCCCTGGGGCATGGGAGAGGGCAGGAGTTGCACAAGGCTTGTGTTCTCTCTGGCAGCCGAAAGCCCCAAGGAGAGGGCCCAGCTCCAGGTGGGTTCAACCTGCCTGTCTCCCTCCACACTTAATTAAGAATTGAGCTTCAGGCTCCTGGGCTCATGGACTGATGGAAAACCGGGTGGAGCGGGGCTGATTCTTGAGCCCCAGCTGGGAGGTTGCTTGGATAGGTCTGAAGCAGAGCTCTTTCATGGCTCTGCTTTCTCCTCTGGGGAGCTGGTAAACACTGGCTGTAGGAAGTGCGTAGTCTGAGGTAAGTAGGAGGAAAGCATGGATAGGCAGACATGTTATCCATGGGATCAGACAACCAAGTTCTCCCATCCTCCTCCCCAGCTATTTCTTGAAAAGATCCTGCTAGCTGCTGCTGGCATAAATCTACCTGAAAGGCTTAACAACAGGTGAGGGTGATGTGAGGAGGGGAGAGGTATTTGTTGGTCCTGTCTCTGTCCCAGTGCTGTGTCACACCACATTGCTTGAGAAACATGAATAAAATCCATTAGATCTGGAGGCACTGTTCAGAAAGTTTTGTGTTTGTCCCTTTTTTTCCCCCCTCCCAAAGAGGCTTTTGAGTCTCAGCCCCTCATTGCTGCGACTCCTGCCAGCCCTGGGAGATGGGGGCCATTTCCGTGAGCCTGTGAGGACGTATCTCTTTTCCATGGGGAGAGGTTCCAGCTGGCCTGGCTCTGGGCTGGCATTTGGGGCAGATGCAGGGAGGACAACCAGGAATGTGAGCTCCCTTTCACAGAAAACGTGTAGGCATGGCAGCAGGTGAATTTTGCAGCCCTGGTGAGGTGTACTCACAGGAGTGAGAGAGGAGAGTTGTTGCTTTGATTTCTGCACTAGTAGCAAGAGAAAAATGTTGCAGAGAGGTGGGATGTGCTGCCTCTGAAGAGATTGAATGTAGTAAGCCTCTTGTCTCTCTAATTTGCTTCCAAATGCAATCTGGTGGGCAATGAAGGCAATGGAGATACCTGTGGTGGATAAAGCCCTTTGAGTTCTAAGCCATCTCACTCCCTTTGTCTAGTTCTTTAACCATAGAAAGTCAAGGCAGAGCCGAGACGCTGCCTTGCTCCTCAGCAATGATTCCAGCAGTGTAAATCGGTTATTCTAGCAGTTCTTCTGAGCACTGTTCCTCCACTTACCATGTCAGTTCTACCCCCAGCGAACAAAGTGCGTTAGCCTGCTCTTGTGTAGGCACAGTCATTGCACCACCTGCTCCCCACTACCACAGCTCGGGCAGGGGTCCTGGGGATTTCTTGCTGTTGAGAGCGCAGCGTGGCTGGTTGGAAGCTTTATAAAACAAACATCTTTCAGGTCCTGGCTCCCTTACCTCGGGCCGGGAGTGGATGCAGGCCAGAGCAGAGCCAACACCAGGCAAAGTGACCCTGGTGTGAGCATGCTCACTACAATTAGCACACCTGTGGCAGGTTTCTGCTGCCTGGACTCCGTAAGACCCTGCTACAGCCGTGTTCGGGAGGTGATGGGGTGGTTTCCAGGCGCACGGGGGTGTGCCTTCAGCAGAGGGCAGTACGGGTGTGCGCACTGCCGAAGGCCACCCCGAGGACGATCAGCCAGCCCCCGCCCCGCTGCCTTCTGTCAAGACCCTTTTCACTGACCTTGAAACCTTCGTTACTTCTTTCTGTGCTGTATTTGGTAACAAAAATAGAGGGGGGTTGTTGCCTTTTTTTTTTTAATGTTTTTCCTGTTGCCACCTTTGTATGCTTTGCCTCATTTTTCAGTACTGAGGGAAGTGGGAGGCAAAGAACGCTTGAAAAATCCAGAAGGTGGGAATTTTTATTAAAATTAATGAAATATATGTCGGCACATATGAGTACAGCATAGGTCAAGTGAGCTGTCTCTCTTCTTTCCCTAGGGGTGCTGCTGATGCCTTAGTCACAGGGAGTATGGGGAGTATATGTATGAAGCAGAGTTCCTGCAAGCGTTGCATATGCACTAATTGGATTGCATTGGTTGTTTTGGGAATTTGCAACCTCCTCCTTTTCCTCTCCCCCTCCCACCCTATTTGTGGTGCCTGTGCGCTTTAATACAGACAGCTGTCCTCTGCGGACCTTCCCTTCGCTTTCCTGGTGGATGTGGCAGCGGAAGAACCCAGCAGAAAGAACTGTAAATACTTCCCAGGCAACGCGACATGGCTGAAGACAGGAGAAGGAGGCAGCACCAGCTTCGAAGAGAAGAGCAGAGACAAAGAGAGATGGTCATTGGCAGCAGATGCTGAGTGGTTGAAGATGACTTTGATGGGTGATGCTGACTGTAGAAAAAATGCAGATGGATTAGATGATGCTCCATTGCCTCCTAGAGGACAGCCTGTTGGCACTGAAACCAGGGTGAGTCTAATTACTTGGGGTTCTTCCTCAAACACCAGCTATCAGGGACTTGAGGGTTTCTGACTCTCTTCCCGTCTAACTCCAGCTCCATAGGTTTATAGTGCAGGGGTCCAACGCCTAAATCAAAGCACAGTCCGCAGCTGGGCTTTTTAAAACTGCATCCCTTTCTTTCATTGTAGCTCCAGGCACTAGAACCAGCCAGCTGTTCCCCAGACCGCATCTTTAAAGTGGTGTTTGTAGGGAACTCCGGTGTTGGGAAGAGTTCCTTCATCCACCGCTTCTGCTATGACAGGTTCTTGGCTGACCTCAATGCAACCATTGGTAAGTAACAGGGTTCCTGACTCATCTGGCTAAGGGTGGGAAAGTCAGCCTGGACACATGCTTTTTGCCTGTATTTTAGCCCAACTAAAGGTAAAGATGGTCCCTTGCCCAATTTTGAATCAATCTTGCAATTTCCCTGAACTAAATGGTGTTGATCTTGGCCATCTGCCTTGCAATGGCAAGCTGCTCTCTCCCCATCCTATCTTATGATCCTTGTTACCTTCCTGACAGGTATTGATTACCAGGTGAAGAGTCTGATGGTGGATAACACCCAGGTTGCCTTACAGCTGTGGGATACAGCTGGACAAGAAAGGTAAGCAATTTCTGTGAGGATGCCCTACTGCCAGACTCAGTGTAGGAAATGGGAGGAAAGGGAAAGACTGCGTGCACCTGGTTTCTGTCTCTGGGAAAATTGTTAGCTTCAGAAGGACCAGAGAGGTTGCAGCAGCTATTCCAGTGCTGAACCTGCAGCAAAGGTCTGTTTTGGAGATTTCTAGAAGCTGTGGCTGTGAAGCAGGGCCTGAAGAGACGGAAAAGTAGTATTCCATGTGTCTGACCTGCATGCTTGTGGCTTCAGGTAGTCTATCCATAAATCACTGTATGGTATGGGGTTTGAAGCTCCTCTAGCCCTCAAAGCTCTCCTGCATCAGCCTGCTTCTGGGAAAAGCTGCAGGACAGGGCTGCAGATTAGGATAGAAATGAAGGCTCTGGATAGACATCCTGTTCTCAGATTCAGTTGTGCTACTGCTGTCCCCAGCTGCTCACCCCCATTTGCTATTCAGAGGGTGGAAAGGAGGGTGTGAACCTTTCCAGATGTGATTCAGACAAAGCCAGCTGAATTAGCTTGACCTGTGATTTGAAGTACCCTGCTGGACTCTGTCAGTGAAGTTATTGGCCCCTTCCACTGTCCCTTCTGCTGACGGACTCGTGGAAGTGATAATCCTTGATAGGTGGGCAGTGTAGCTTTTTGCGACAGTGAATGAGTTCCTCATCTGAAGGCCTCTAGTTTCAAAAGCATGGGCCGTCACTGGATATTACCAGCACTGTCGGTGAGGATCAGAGTAATAGAGGACACACTTGACCCTCATCTGCTACTAGAGACATAGGCCCACCATTATCGTCATGTAAATTATTAGACTTTATTTAGGATGCACTTGGAAGCTGAAGATGAAGAGCTATTTCAAGGGGGCTGTTAACCTCAAGAGCCTGGCAAAAATAAGTACTGGGTATTTTGGGCTAAATATGTTATGCAGGCAGCTGAGGTCATGGAAATATTATAATCCTGAGCTGTGCCAACAGAGCAATGATGCCGTCTACCGCAGTCAGCTAGACCATGCAGACCTGGTGGGAATGTACTTGGTGGGAATGTAGGAGTATCTATTGAAAAGCAAACTATTTTTTCCAAAATCAAGCTTCATGCTGAAGAAATAATGATTTTTGAGGGGACTCCTGTAGTTATTTCAGTGCTGAAGCTGAGCAGTAAGGAGAGTTGTTATGACATGAAGTGTGACATTTTACTGAGGCGAGATTGCATCAGAGGCCAAATTCAAGATATTGTCTCTGCAGAAGGACCTTTAGGGTAGGCCCCTGCAGCATTAGCAGGTCTTAGACATGTACTTGCAAGAGAGAACTTGGCTCAATGCTGATATTGAATAGGAGACCTGGGAAGAAGCAAAAGCTTTTCTTTCTTCTAGAGGAATATTAATTATTCCTAACTGGAGGTGTCCAACTGTGATTATCCTATGGAAGAGAGAGAGGAACCACTTGGAGCGTGCAAGGAGTGACTTCCTGAGACTGGTGCACGCTACATTTGATGTTTCTTCTGGAGCATCTAACCTGTCCTGTAGCTCCAGAGGTGTACCTTGACTGCCAAAAATAGAGTTTGTGCTTTCTCAGTTGGGTAGTTGCCAGAATGTCATGCCCTTATTGTAGTGAGAAAGAACAGGCTTCAGGCAATCATCTGAGGAGTTCAGGAGGGTCGCTACTTGCTGTAGGTTTTGTTGGCTCTTAATAGAATAGGAGAGCTTGTTATCCTGTGCAGGGCTGAAATACATAGCTCTCTGGTGAGATCTCAGTATTTGTGTTGCATTTAATTTCATCAGTTTGTAATCAGTGTGGTTATATCATGGCCTTGTCAGAAGCTGCTTACAGATTTTACGGTTTGGGTTTTTGTTTTGGTTTGATTTTGGTTTTTGTTGGAATTTATTCCCAAAATACAAGTCTGTGGTTCTAACTGGTACCCACAGGACACAGTAGGTGTCTGGTGGGAGTTTCTCCTGGAAATTGTGTCTAACTGCTGATTTTATGTATGATGGCATTGCTTTATAGATTCAGAACTGGAAACAGACTGTATTGATGCTAAGATCTTAATTGCTGTTTTGGCAGCACTGGGGCAGATATTATGCATGCCTTGTTTATACTGTGGTGCAGCTTAGTCTGCAGATTCTTCCAGACTCTAGAGAAAGGTCATGGCTTTTCCATCCATTTCCCTTTTTATAGGCAATTACCTTTTCCTATCCCACCTAAACAGATTCTTCTGTTTCTTTCCTCCTGACCTGCAAAGGTCTTCCTGCCTTCTCAGCACCATGTGTTTGGAAAGACTCCTGCTTACGCATGGCTGCCTGACTTGCCTCAAAGGTGCAAGGATCTGACCTGTCTGTCGCCAGTCTGTACACACCAGCCCCAGGGGACACATCTCACATACAGGGGCTGCCAGGCCTTGCAGAGAGCCTGCACTGAAAGACAGATAATCCCATTCTGCTTCTGGTCATTACACAGCTGTGGTTCTGAGAGTGCCTTTGGTTTCATTTGGGCTCAGGTTTCGGAGCATTACCAAGCAGTATTTCCGGAAGGCGGACGGGATTCTGGTGATGTACGACATTACGGCTGAGTGCTCCTTCACGGCGGTGCGGAATTGGATGAGCAGCGTCCAGGTGAGAGTGGGGCCTTGGCTTTCTAATGCCGGTGGTGCTGCCACTGCCTAGCTGCAGACCAGCTCCAACAGTCTGTCTGGGAGCGATGTTCTCTGACGCCCCAGGAAGGCCTATTGACCATGGGAAGATGAATTATCAAAGCAGATGCTATGGGTACTGCCTGTGGTAGTCAGTCTGGGACCAGGGGCTTCTTGTTGAAGATACCAAGGCCAGTGGTAGCCCATTAAATGAGAGGGCTGTTTCTATGGCAGAAGATGGTGGGACCTGCCAAAACAGTAATGTGTGTTTGTAAGCAGCCCATGTGCATTGGCCATGTCTCCTAAACATGGTCACATCACACCTGTGCTCAGGCAAGGAGATCTCCTGATGTCCAGCCTACGCACAGGAAAGGGAGACGGCCCTGGTGCATTTAGGCTCAGACCTGCAGCATGCATGCACAGCGCTTCGCATGATCACATCCTGACTCTGCTTTGAGATTTCTAGATGAGATTGAAATATTAGTAATAGCTTTTTTTTTTCCTCATTTGCTTCAACTTTAACAGTTGACTTTTTTTTTTCTTTTTTATTTGGTGACTGTGTATTAATACTGTAATCTGCCCCTCTGCTTTTTATTTTCAAACTCTCAATAAAAGCATTCGTCTGTGGCTTGTATCTGCTAGCAGAGACAAAAATACCTGTCTGTATAATTTAAATAAGTTGTGTGTAGATGACTCAGAGCTGAAGGGAAATTGTCAAGGGTGGTTTTGTTTTGGTTGTGCTGAGTCTCAAAAACCAAGATCTAAGTGAAATGAATAAGCATAGGTTGGAGGTTTCTAATATTATTAACTTCCACAGGCCTGTTGGCAAAAAAAAAAAACCAAAACACCACTTAGCTATTTCTTTGGACTCTAAAAGATCAGAGGTTAAGATTTTCAAAACTAACCAGCCTCTGAAAATCAGGCTCCCTTCAGGAAGGTTAAACTGAGCACACAGAAAATCAAAGTACCTGAAATCTGTAACTTTTAATAGTCTCTCTTCTTTTCCTTTCCACATCTTAGTATTTATCTTGCTTTGAAGCTCTTCAGGTACTGTAAGTTATCCAGGGCAGTCAAGTTTAGAAATAACTTGGAGCCCCATTCTGCAGTCCTTACTCTGGTGATGTTCTAGTGAGCCAGTGGAACTAGAGGGAGTTTTACCAAAGGTAATGGGCTCCAGGAATCACCTAGGAATAACAGTTCCTACAGCGACTCTATATAAGAGTTGAAAGTTGCTTAGCTTGCTTGGCCAGTGGATTTTCAGCAAGGGGTGGTTGAGTTTAGGACAGCACATCAGACAAATAGTACCGCACATATACACAAAAACTATTCAACTTAATAAGAAGCTCTGCCTGAACTTAAATTGCAAACAGCCTATGGGGCAAACTACTTTTCTTTAGGCTTGTTATTTCCCAGAGAGGAGCTTATATCCTGACTCCCCTCTCTCAGCATCCCAGCTGTACATACCAAACATTTGAAATACATTCCCGTAGTTTAAGCTTCCTTCCACAAATCCCTGGGGCTGTTTGAGGAATGGCCCTTTAATGAGCTAAAGGGGCCTGATCCTGCTGCCACTGAGGGTCTTGTTTGCATGAGCTGGAACAGGATCTGCTCCAAGATATTTCCCTCCCTCAGCTGAGTCTCTAGCGTGCTTTACTCTGTCTCTTTTGCAGGAAGGTATCGAGGATGGAGCTGTGGTCTTTCTGCTTGGAAATAAAACGGACGCTGCGCAGAGAGAGACACAGAATGTGCCCAAGGTGGAGGGGGAAAGGCTGGCGAAGGTGTGATTCTGTGCTCTGCTGCTAGACCCACTCTGCAGCGCCCCTCCAGCTGTGAGCAGGGCAGCCTGGCTGGCAGGAAGCCCTTCTTGGAGCCACCGTTTCTCCAATGCAAACATGTACCGATATCCCTCTGGTACCAGGGAGGATGAGGTGGTGGCCAGCATGTGGCAGACAATGGCCCTTGAGGCATGCTCATGTATTTCTCTTGAGGCTTGATGCCTCCTTACAGTGATGCTCAGTCTTTGAGGGGAGCATGCATGGCTGTTTTGGGGACTCCCCTAATGCATGCTCGCAAAATCGTCCTGCCTCCTTTCTCACTCCCTGCATGCCCACTGGTACCTTGGCCTCTGGGTGGGAGGATGCAGGGTTTCAGAGGTGTTCCTCATCTTCTGGACTCTGTAACACAAAGATAAGAGAATCCAAGTACCCTGGGCAGATGTTTTTTCTTCCCAAATAACTTCCCCAGTGTTCCTTTTTGGACACTCTGGCTGGGCCGCCAATGCTGGGTTGGTGAGCAGGGCGTGCGCCCCAGCAGGGTGGTAACAGCCACCCTCCTGGCCCCCACTGCTCTCGGCAGAGTTCCCAGCGACGAGGGTGGGCCAGCTCCCAGGGGTGTGGGTGAATGGTGGGGGAGAACTGGCAGCCAACATGGGTGCTTGCTGTGCTCTCTGGCAGGAATACAAGGCTGTCTTCTACGAGTGCAGCGCGATGACTGGCTATAACATCATGGAGCCCATGCTGCACATGGCCAGGTCAGTGACCAGGAACAGTCACCCTGGGATGTTTCCCCAGCTGTAGGTGATTGGTGTGGGCTCTCCTGGGGAATGGGCAAGAAAAGGGGGTTGTCAGAGACTGACTTTCTGCCATGTCACAAAAAAGACCTGGAGCAATGTGCTCTTCCCCCTGACTCCAGGTCCTTGTCTTCTGTGCCTGGAGAGCACCAAGTGCAGACTGGACATTATCGCGTGCAAAGTTTCGTCTGGCAGAGCTGGCTGTTGAAAGATTGGGAGTTTAATTTGAATATTTCATCACAAAAACCTTGTGTACTATCCCAGATTTTAAGTTGGCATTTTCAGTTTGAAGTCTGCATGCATCTCTAAGGGTTTTTTCTTCCGTATCTTATTAAGCATTATACAGAATGTGATATTTTGGTGGCAATATTTTTAAAGGGAGATAAGACACTTTGTAAGGCTGAAAGAAGCTTGCTCCAAGACTTTTAGTTTTTAAAAAAGCAAGTAGTTTTGAAAAAAGTCTTTGAAATCTTGCAAGAAAAATATCCTTTTGTTTTCTTTTATCCCTTCACCTCCTGCTGCATCATCTCTGTTAAATTCAGAGCAGGACTTAGCTGTTCATTAACTGGGATGATTTACTTACTAGCTAGGCAAACCGTGTCTCCTGTAGCATATGCCTTCAGCATGCTTTATTGCCATGCTGCTGCCCGAGATGGCCCAGACAGGTGAATCAAACAGCCCGGGATTCTGCCATCAATGATCAATGTGGGAGCTTGGGAATAAGGCATAGACCACTCACGCCCCGGTCTGATGCTCTGACTACTAAGCCATACTGTCCCCTCTTCTGTGTGTTCAGTTTCTTTCCCTGTTCCCTGGAATTTCATGCTCATTTTCTGTGTGGTTTATCTAGCCCGAATTCCAGACAAGCCCGGTCTTGGGACTCGTCACTTTTTACAATCCTAAATGTCCCTGGCTGATAGGGAGCAAAGGGCAGAGCCAAATGCCTTGGCAGGAAGATCTCGGTAACTGGGTTGTGTTCCTGATCTGTGCTGCTTGTTCCAGGTTGCTGACAGCACAAGAAGACAGGCAGAGGGAGAGTGCCCTGCAGCTGGAAGATGTCAGCAGGAGGAAAGGGTGCTGCACATAAGGCACATGGATGTGTCAGCAAGAGACATGTGCCAACACCGTTTCACTAAGCTGGGATTCCTTTTGAGCAAGCCGAATCTGATGGTATCAGCTCTGCAGAGACCTGGGGAAGCTGCAGCTTTTCCCCATCTGGGAATTTCAAGGCACTAAATCAGGTCAAAATGCGCATATGATCTGCATTGTTCCATTTCCCAGCTCTGCGCTCAGCCCTGGTCTCTGGAGGCCTCTGCTTCTTTGGGGGAATTCGGCTGGTCTTGGCTAATAGCACAAACTGGGCCTTCTGTCTGGAGAGGTTGCTTCCCTGTACAAGGATGAAGTCTTATTCCTTTTCTTGCTGGCAAAGAAGTGGCCTATCAGCAGAGAATGGAGGACACGGTGGGTGCTGTGTTAAATAGAATTTTAGTGTAAGAAATGAAGAAATTATTTTAAATTTGGGCTAGCTCTAGGCAGTGATACATCCGTCTCAAAAAGCAGCATCTCTTCTTGGTTCTGTAACAGCAGAGCCCAGCTGAAAGCCTGCTGTGGTAAGCGGGAAAATCTCCACCAGTTCCTGTAAAATCTGGATCAGGCCCTGTATTTACTATGAAATTTGGTTTGACTTGCCAACATTGTAGCTAACTGATTCCATACGTGGATATAGTAGGAACGGATAAAACAAGTCATCCCGATGGCTTTCTTTACTTTGTTACCCGAATGGACCTTGTTACTGTCCCTCTCTTACTGTTTACAGAACAGAGAGCAGTTGCCCTGGGACTCGCAGGTGCTGGCATGTGCTGCTGATTCATAACCCGTTGCGGGAGCTGTGCTGTACATACTAGGGGGGCCATATATAGCCTGTTTTAAGGCTGAATGCTGCCTGTTTCCTCCCATTCTCTTACCCTTTCCTGAAGAGTCTCCAGCAACTGGGAACTGACTGGTCTGTGGTACTGGAAGACCCCACCCTGCTAGCCTGAGCACAGTGCTTTCAAATGTGCCCGGGCTGGAAGCAGAAGGGAGCTGCCTGTGTGAAACATACCTAGTGAAGCTTCTTCTCTTGCGGCGGCCTCGTGCAATAACCTCACTTTCCTGGTGAAGGGCCCGAGAAAGAGCAGGGTTGAACCTGTTCCTATTGGGAAGGGGCCGCCTTGTCACTGAGGAGTGGGGCAAAGAAGGGCGAGGGGAGGAGTGGGCTGAGGTAGGCACTGGCCCCAAAAGTGCGCCTCTCAGCGTAGCTGCCGCTGTGCCTGGGCGTGAAGCCCCCGGTGTTCCCTTGGGTGTGATGCTTTCTATCTTGTAGCTCCGTTGCTCTCAAAGCCTTGTGGGACTAAGTGAGCTTTTTTTTTGTAATGCCCTGTTCCCTTTCTTCTTTGAGCCTGTTTCTGTACGTGACTTTGACGTTTTAGGCACAAGATGCAATACTGCAGCCGTGAAGTAGCCCCCAACCTTGCAGCATAGGGAAGGCCTATATTTATTCACTGTCGTTCCTCTCTTGGGATAAGGTGATTACTCTGAATGTCTGTTTATTGCACAAATTTCTCTGGGAATATCCCATGCAGGAAAAGTGCTCTGAGTCACCTACGCCCCATCAGGGTTACAACGAATTTCCATGGTTCCTCCCTGTGCCCTTTACTCCTGATAGGAAAGAGGAAGTTTTTCTCCGGAAGAGCAGGATTCCTGACTAAAAGGAATAGCTAAAAGTAATAAGCTCCTGCTCAGTCCTTACTGCTGGCTGGCTGTGGTTCACAGTGTATTTAACTGCAGTAATGCCTTCCAGAGACTGGGGATCAGAAAGTTAGAAGAGGTCCAGAAGGAATCAGGGCTGCTGGTGTGGAGTCTAGAGTAACACCAGCAGTGCTGCCAGTGGAACTGCTCGTGTTCGCAAGGAACAGTGTTTGGGAAGGGAAATCCTCTCTGTTTTCAGAAACCACCTGTAATCTGAACGCAGACATAGCTTTCTGGCTTTCTAGCCGATGTGGACATGAAGGAGCACAGACATTGCCACCCGTTGAATAGGTCAAACTCACTACCTGAGTTGGGGGAGCTGCTGTCAATGATTCCTCTGCATCATGTTCCAGTCACAGGTTAATAAGGAGTGGCGCTGACTAAGAACTGGCATCTTTGGTCAGGGCACATCAGTAATGCTAACATTTACTTACCTGCAGCAGCAGGATTTGGGCAGTTGCTGCAGAAGGAAGAGAGCAGGAGCCAGCCTGCTAACGTGGTCTGAACGCGCACCTCCCACACTGTGCACAGCGTACGTGAAAGACAAAGGCGTGAAATACAGCTGACACACAAATACAGGCCAGTCTATGTATTACCTTTATCAGTGCTGTCATATTGCAATGGCAAGAACTACCACGTGGGTTTTTTTAATGTACAACCTTAAGCATGTTTTCTTAGTGTGCAAGCAGAGTACAGGCAATAAAGAAATGCTGTCTTACAAATGGTTGTGTTGAGAGATTTTTTTCAGGCACTGCAGGAGATTCAGCCTCCCTTCTTCAGTCGCTGATTGTAGTGTGACCTCCCCTTCTTGCTGCTCAGGAAGTGCTGAGAAGCCTGTCCCCCATGGTGGTACAAACGGGAAGTTTATAAGTAGGGAGAGAGTTGATCAGGAACCCATGTCTTGGCGGTAGCACAGGTGCAAGTCTTATTTTTATCTCTTTCAAGCAGCCAGAGTCCAGCTGATCAGGGAAGGCAGAGCAGGGAGGAGAAGAAGGGGAGATGCTTCCCCAGTGTCTGGGGGCAGCGTAGCGCCTTCAGAGAGGGCACGTTCTCACCTTGTACCCATATTTGTAGAACTAAACATTTCTTTTAATAATGCCCCATGCACCCTTTTCACTAGAGTTAGGAATTTGGTTGCTTTTAAGCACAAGGTGCCCTGGCATGGCTCCACCTGGTTGTTCGTGCATTACAGAACTAATCTCTCTGCAGCTTTGACCAAAGAAATAATTACTCATTTCCTTTGCTACCAACTGATAGCACAGTTAACTCATTGTAACATCTTTTTTTAGCAGCAACAGGGTGGACTTTTGTTTCAAAGGGGCACAGAGTTTGAGCAGGTTGCGCTTGGACAACAGGAGGCACCAGGGTAGGTTTTATTACTGGATGGTCTTTTGTTGCCTCTCTGCACAATATTTAAATGTCCTTTTGGAAGACCCAGACACTTAGAGTCTAGAGGGGCATGTTGTGAGTTTTTAAAGCTGTCTGATATCAGACCCAAACTAGACCAGACTTTCTACAAAATTCCTCGTTTTACTACTACTGTTTTTGTCAGAATCTCTCCTGTCTCTGAAGGGAAGCCCTGGGAGCAGCCACCCTTTGCACTGCTGGAAACTGTGGCATAAATAAAAAGGAAATAATGGGGATATCCTGAGGTGGCATGAGACGAGGGAGAACGCAGAATAGACTCTGCCTGGGGGCTTATTCCTGCACCGTATTGGCTGCAGTCTCGTAGTGGACAGGTGACTTTTTGCACATACTCTGAAAGTCATTTTGGAATCCTATCACAAGAAAGTACTCTTCTTATAGCCTGGGAAGCCTTATCCTGGCATATGCAATAGTGCAGCTGTGTATACAATCAGATCTCGGGGCAAAGGTGAAAAATCCAGCTGCTCCGACAACCAGCCACAGTCGCACAAAGCTCTGCACCCAGGCAAAGGGACCCCGCTTGGCCTTGCGTTTCACTTCTCTCTCTCATGTTAATATGCTAAGGATAAGCACAACAGGATTAGCCTGACAACATCTTTTTGAAAAGCCAAAACAGGGCTGAAGAGTGAGCATTAAACCACAGTGTTAAGTTTAAATCTTTCCCACAGGACAAATGCAGGAATTGCACAGGTTTAGGATGTTGTTTTCTTCTACCTTCTTTATTCCAGCAGCCTGAACTCCAAGGGACAGTTTCCATTTACACACATTTAAGCTGTTCCTGCTATAGGGATCATGCAGTCTCTCACACATTATTTTCTGTCCTGTCACCTTCTTCTGTTTGTGTCTTCATGGTCTTTTTACTTGTTAATTGCTTAGTCCATTTATATATTGACCAAGTACTTAAACTCCAAGTATAAATGTATCTCATAGCTCATGCTATACACCTTTAAAAGCTCTATTTGGAAATCCCCTGCTCAGCGCCAACAGATCCACACAGTCCTGCAGTTCAGAGCTTCGTTAGCTCTTTGAGCCACTGTCAGTCTGCTCATTACTTTTCTGGCTGTTTATGAGTCAGTTATAGAAATTTCAGTTGGCGCAGCTACAATAACCCAGCTCCAGACTCTTCAGGCCTGCAAGGCATGCTTCATGCACATGTCAAGCCATAAGGCCCTGATCCTGCAAACACAAGTGTAGCCGTGCGCTTCTTCTGAAGGGACTACTCCACAGGAGACCTGACCAGGTAAAATTTTTTTTTTCAAGGTAAACACATATCTCCAGTAAAGATATACTACTCCAGTAATAAGCTGAGGATTGGGAGGTGGGGGGTCCTGTGGTATATCTCACCTTCACCTGCAGGCTTTCCCAAGCACACGACGGCCGCGCAGGCAGCAGTTGTGCCTAATCGTGCCCGTTTGCTGACCCAAATCTGCTGCGGCGGGAGGTTACGGTCTTTCCTGTTTGTACACGAAATCTCTGGCCACGGCAAGAAGGCAGCTGTCCCGCACGGCTGCCTACCCAGGACGCCCCAAGGGGGCTGGGGTCTGGGCTAGGGCCGGCGTCTCTTGTTGCCTCCTCTGCCGCATGCTCCCTGCAAGAAACCTCTCAATGTGCAAGTGTGAGCTGGTCCCCTAAGGCTGTGTTTAATCACTTGGCTTTCCAGCGAAAGCTTAGGTTGGATCCCTGTGGGCTGAGGAGAGAGGTTTACTCATGGGGAAGGATGAAGTGATGTTAGAGTTGGGCACATAGGCTGCAGAGGCTAAGCGTCACCGTCGAGGCCAACACCCAGGAGGTGCTAAACTGGCCTTTTCCCTCCCTCCCTGCTCAGGTCTCCTCTCTTCCCACCCACCCCTAAGAAACCGCTCCGCTGCCGAGGCG